AAACAGAATCTTTTTACTAGCTATCTAGGTTCCACCAAATTATCTGCTTTATTTCCATATTTGGACATATTTCAGTCTATAATCAGGCAATCTGTCCAAAAACAGGGCAGATAAGTGCTGTACTCAGAGCATTTTTCTGCCTCCAGGGGAACAAGATGCAAAGAAGCTCAGGGTTCCTGAAACTTTAATAATAGTATTGTGAACTTTTGGATTGGTTGGTATGGCTGAGTTTGTAAGTTGTTAACATTTTAACATGCTGCTTAAGGCACTACTTCTGTTTTGTTTAAACTCCCCCCCCCCCTTTTAAATGTAGTTTCATTTACCAATGGAAAAACAGGACATGACATTTTTATAAATAAAATGAGAAGTGTACATGAGGAATTTTAGTACGAAGATTTTTTCCCCCTATTACAATAAAAATTCCTTATCTGACACAATTAAAGATACAAGAAGTTTCATCTTCTGAAGCACATGGTCACATTCTTCAAATTCTTATTTGATCTGCTTCATAAAAACTGGATCCTTTAAGAAGGATGCATTTAGAGTGATCAATGTGCCATCAAGTTGATGTTGACTCTCCTCCTAAATCAGGGGTGTCAAACTCGCATCATCATGGCAGCGTCACGTGATGTATCGTGACTCTTTCCCGCTTTGCTAAACCAGGCATTGGCGTGGCCAGTGTATGATGCATCTGGCCTGCAGGCCAGGAATTTGACAGCCCTGTCCTAGATCTTCTCCAGGACCCCAAGTCCAGGTCCCTGGCCTTTCAGGTCTTCCATCACCACCATACACTAGTCCAGAGGGTCCCTGTGAGCTGTTTGCAACCAGGCCTCGGAAATGGTGGGCGAGCACAAGCACGCGCATCCCCACTTGTGCAAGCAGTGGGCGAGTGTGTGAATACACGGTCCATTTGTACACGCCACGGCCACACGTACATGGCACTTGTGCAAATAGACCATGTGTTCACATGCCGCTTAACGGCTGCTCACACGGAACCATCCCCCCCCCCCCCCCCCCCCCGCTGGTCTGCAAAGCCTGAAAGATTGGGGAACGCTGAACTAGTCCATCTGTCTTGCTGTTAATTGTCCTCTTTGTCTCTTTTCTTTCACCCCCACATTAATGAAAATTCTATAGTTATGCAAACATTGTTGTCCAAAACACCAGTGACAAGGACAGGCTGTATATTGCTTCGATGATGACTGGATGTTGTTATACAAAGCTGTAAATCCCTAGTCAAGAACTGGATTCATAATGTCTGTGGTCAATGCTGATATATTTTAAATGTACGGAGCGAAAATACGTTGACATTTAAAAGCTGCTGTCTTGGGCCATTTAACCCGTAGTCATTTTTAATCTGAAGCCCCATCTAAACTCTCAGCATTTCCTGTGCTTGTTTATGTAGGCACTTAATTTTAATGATGGCGCCTTTCTCCCCCTATTTGTATATCCAGTAATGTTTATTTGAATTCCCCCCTCACATAATATAATATAACCTCAATGATATAATAATAATTTAATAGAGTCCTAGCTCATGTGCCAATTCCTTGAAGGGCAGCATCAACACAGTAGTACTAAATGACCAACTTGGATGTTTCAGGCACAGCAGAATTTCTTGTTTCTCTTGGTTTTGATGGCTGTGGTTCTTTGTTTTCAGATGAGGCATCAGCGACAACAAGAGTTGCTTTTGCAAAGTTGGGTTGGGTTGGGGTTCAGAAGTTCTGCTTTTCATGGAAAATCTCTTTTGTTCTCTCTCATATCATGAAACATGGTTACATGCAACAGGCAAGCATAAGGATCCTCCCTCATGTATTAATTTTATCTTATACCCGATATTGTATTGACATTAGAAGAAGGGAAATCTGTTCTCTGCAATTATCTCTTTAATACATGATGGAGATAAAATAATATTTTGAAACAGGAATATTACAACTGCATTAAAATCTCCCACTCGCTGTAGTGGTGTGAAATGGGACTAAAAAGATGGAATAAACTGCAAAGGAAATGTCAATCAGGGCACAAAGTTAGAGTTAAAAAAAAGAAACAATTAATTAAAAATCACAATGCATTGATGAGTGGAATTCTAAATGAAAAAGGAAGTTGAAAAAGATATTTGAAAAACAAGAATCTTCCAGAACTGAGCCCATCTAGTATTAAAAATGTTTTGAGGTCCTAACAACCATAATCTATAAATATGAGTTTTCATGTAAAAATAATTTAAAGTCAAATGTTGGCTTTGGAAGGGGACATGATGGCTCAATGGTTAAAGTGCTGAGTTTGTCAGCTGGAAAGCTGAGAGCCCAGGTTCAAGACCTGAGCACCACATACTAGGATGAGCTCCCATTACTTGCCCCAGCTCCTACTAATCTAACAGTTTGAAAGGATGCAAATATAAGTAGATAAAAAGGCACCACTCCAGTTGGAAAGTAACAGTGTTCCTTGCACCTCGTCATATAGTCATGCTGGCCAGATGACCACAGAAACATGTTTGGACAATGCTGGCTCCCTTGGCTAAGAAAGGGAGATGAGCACCACCTAGAGTTAGATACAACTGGATGAGGAAACCTTTACCTTTATCATAATTTCACTCAATAATATTCAAGGGCATTAGATTCATGCCAAAATCATTATTCCAACTGATGAGTTACAGCATCTTCTTGAATCATCCAACAAATTGTGCTGAAATAACAGTAATAAAGATAAGCTTGACATCTTGCATGACTCTGCAAGATATTCTAAGTCACAAGAGAGGATCTTACCTGAGACCCACAGAGGATGGCTCAGTCTGCTGTTAGTAAATTCAAAGTGTGTTTGGGGTTTTTTCTCCCCATTTAATGATGTCAACTTCTCAGAGAGTGCGTGGGCAAGTCCCTGCAGGTTTTTTGGCAAGATTTTTCAGAAGTGGATTGCCATTGTTTCCTTTCTAGAGCTGAGAGAGAGTAACTGGCCCAAGGTCACCCAGTTGGATTTGTGTCTAAAGCAGGCAAAAACTCACAATCTACCATCTACCAATTTCTACAATCTACATCTACAATCTACGAGTTTCTAGCCTGTTGCCTTAACCACTACACGAAACTTATTTGATTCAACTGGCTTGGTTAAATGTAAGGAAATAACCATTTACTGTCAAGTGACATTTGTTTTTGCAGATTGAGCTGGAGGTGACCAAATGTCATGGAGGGCGGAACATGATGCAATGATGCCATACAATTCATAACTGTATCAGTTCATAAGATTGGGTTTGGCAAAAAAAAAAAAATCACTTTTGTTCTTTTCAAGCATTTTAATCCTTTCTTGTTTTATCTACTTCCTCCAATTTTTGTTTATTATTGAAGTACACAGGAAATTGTGCCTAATGGGTTTTTTGCCACCACGTTTTAGAAGTACAATTTCAGTGAACTCTAGATGGAGATGCTGAAAAAGATATATTTTGCCTGAAAAACAGAAGACCCTCATGGGCATATTACACCATTTTTCTATTATGTAAAGAGCTGTTGCATTAGGAGGCAAAAAAACGGTTAGATTTTATGTGCTGAAATTACAGGGGTGTAGATTTAGAAAAACTCTGTTAATAGTGATGATATTTAACAATGTTAAAATTCTCTCTGGTTCTACACAGAAAGCGATCTTTTAGGGTTGTTCATCATCATCATCATTTTAGCCATTGTCAATCCACTGAAAGATGAAGACCTCTTCTGCATGTTTCCAACCAATACAGTTCCTGAGCTTTCTTTTGCCAATTGGGCCCGCAATACTTGCTGATGTCATTGATCCATCTTGTTTTAGGTCTCTTTCGTGGATGCTTTTTATCAAGTGAGATCCATTCTGTGATTGCCTTGGTCCACCTGCCATCAGTTCCTCTTGCTATGTGGCCAGCCCGTTTCAATTTCAATTCTTTTACTCTCTTGAAAGCATCATATACTTTCATTTGTTCTTTAATCCATGTGCAGGTCTTTCTATCTTGTCTTGTAATGCCAAGCATGTATCTTTCCATGGCTCTTTGTGCCATTTGTAGCTTTTGTATTGATTGTGAGGTTAGTGTCCATGTTTCTCTGGTATATGTTAGAGAAGGTAGCACACACTGATCAAACACTTCTCTTCGGGCAAAGGGAGAAGTTGTTCTTGAAAATTAAACTCAGCTTGCCGAATGCCTGCCAACCACATTTAACATGCCATTCAATTTCCTTTATTGTATCACCTTCCATTGAGATCCATTGGCTAAGGTATATGTAGTGATGTACTATGTCTAGTTCTTCTCTAGATATAAACATTTTTCTTTCTTTTGTGAATTTATTAAACATAACCTGGCTTAGGATTGTTATAGCCCTGACTGTCTTGCCATGAGCAAACAAGGGGACTAGATATCTTATAAACCTCAGTATAAGACAAAGGGAGAGTTTTCCACTGAAAATTGTATTTACACACTGTAGTGTGCCCAATAAAGAGAGACCATGCCCAATGTAATAGGGTTAGCCTATTTGCTCTTTAGTAAAAGCCACTGCAGTTATATTGGATTGTCTTTTCGGTTGTTGCACCAAAGAGAGGATCAGAATGTTTTGGCAGCTGTATGAAGTAAATACATAACAATAACCCTATTCAGGTTTATCCTCCCCCCCCCCCAACACACACTCCCTTCAATAATGAGCCATTTTGGTCAAAGCTGTATTTAGCAAGAAAACAGATTAGCCGAAGCCTGGCTTAATCAAAACCTATCCCTGTTCTGGGATTTGGCTTTACTTACAAAGTAAACATAGCAAACATTCCAGAATTCACTTTCCCTATGTTTGACCTCTATTACATTGCATAATAAAATTAACCATTCAGTTACTCTCTTGTCATAAATCTCTTCAGACTCATAAAGATAAAAAAAAAAAAAGATGAAGACCTGGAGATTAAGCTTGATCTAAAGCACAAAGCCTTAGTGAAAAACCTGTTTGTTTACAACCTGCATCTGGCCTCTGTCATATTTATTGCAGGGAAACGCCTCGGCCTACACACATGGCTGAATGAAGTAAAAGGATGCCTCATCATCACACGTTGGAAATAATACCTTGAGTGCTGAAAACCTCAGCAGCTAAAAAGCCAGCAAGTCAAGGAGAAGGTTTGAGCGAGTGGTGGATTGCTCCTGGTTCGATCTGGCTCTTGCGAACTGGTAGTAACGGCGGTGGGAGGCTCTGGCCAGACGTCATCACGGATGATCTGTGCATGCGCAGAAGCGCATGTGCGCTCCCATTGCAAACCGGTAACGGAGGTAAGTATAACCCATCCCTGGTTTGAGCCCTGTCCTTTATCTGGGATTATTCAGCAGGAAGGATTCAACCACTCGTCTTACTTTTAGTTAGAAGTAAATATAATAAATACATAAAAATACAGTTCTTTTATCTTTCCAGGGTTCTGCTACCTCATTCAAGTGCAAATGTGGAATCAGGATTGAGGTCCCCTTTTTACATTCTTCCCCTTTGGAAGAAATATACTTCGCATGAGATTGTTATACAGTTTTTATTTTATGTTTGTTTGGCCAGCAGACAGAAATGGAAGCAGTCAATACAGAAGACGGAGATGTGTTTGCTTTTCTTTTGTGTGCTTATTTAATTCTTCATATAGATGATGAAAAATAGACCTCACTGGAAGATCAAGGGAAAGAATCAGAGACAGTTTTATGCTGGTTTAGAATAGCTTTGTGGCAGGCCCTAAATAGACCAGCAAAACATCAGATTGTACTCTTAAAGAACATCATTAACTGGTACAGGTAGATATGCTGCATGGAATGTGCCAACTTTTTTCAATCTCCTTCATGAGTTTTCCTTTAATTCTGCTTCCATGTTTAACATGTCTTCAAAACTTCAGCTGCCCTTTTTTCGAGAGGGCGTTACTGATGGAGAAAAGAGTGGAATGCTGGAAATATGTGGAAATTCAACAGTATCCATGATTCTTTCCTACTGACATAAAAATCAACTCGGCCTCCTTCTAACACAGTGTTTCTCAACCTTGGCAACTTTAAGATGTGTGGACTTGAACCCCAAAAATTACCTAGTCAAGTTTGAGAAAGACTGATCTATCAGTTAGACAAGGAGCAGAAGAATCAGCCTGAAAACTGATTCAGAATCCTATCATTAGCGTTCTGTCTGGAGGGAAGGCATCAGCATGCTTGTACCAACTAACATGATGATAAATTGAGATGTCGCCTTTTGCCAGCTATTTTATGTGGCAATCACTTTAAGTGGGATTGATGCCACCCTAAATGAAGGCATTGTTGTTCTTAGGATACAAGCAATAGTTCCAGTAGCTCTCCTCTTGAATGACTGCATAACTTGGCAAGAGAAACCATCTCTAGTATTCTCCAGCTAGTATTGTTTGTTAGGCTTGGTGAAAAATATCAGATAAGATATAGGATAAAAGCGCAGAATTAGACATCACAGCAGGATAAATTAAGGGGAAAGAATAGCATCTGAAGTACTGCACAGAGGCAAGAGCTTACAAGGATAGCATTGAGATTATTTTCACAGTGAAAGAAGATAAACATCTGCCTGTATTCAGAAGTGCCAAACAGTTTTACTTCATCAGCTTCAATCAGTAGAATTTCCTATTTTCCATGGTTGCTGAAAGCACAAGAGCTTTGCTGGAATAAGTCGGCAACTCTTAGTATCAAAGAAAAGTCTCTCTGATTGCCTCTTGAAGTAATTAATCCTGTGATATTTCTTGGCCAAGAGTCACATTTGGATGATAGCAGTGGTGTTGATATGTTAAAATCAAATAGATCGTGCCTTTCATCAGGAACAAAAGGCAGCTTACATAAGGGATACCTTTCATTTTATCCATACAATAACAATTCTTCAAGGTAGGATGAACTGTGAAAGACTAACTGATGCTCACCCTGTTTTCAGGGCTGAAGGTAGATTTGAAACTCGGTAGAGATTCTCAGTCATCCAGGTCATGGTTGTCCCAAAGATGGTTTTTCAGGAGGCAACTGGGCTTTCTTGTTTTTTCCTTTGAAGATGGTAAAGAATATAAATCTTTCCATTCCCCACTATCCTGTCAGAGCTAAAGAAGCTTCCTGGATGAGAAGCGAAATGTTTTCAAAGAAAAAACAAATATATCCAGTTGCCTCCTGAAAAAGCACCTTAGATTTGAAACTGGTGCTCCTTAGTCCAACACCTTAATCAATTCACATTTTCATCATACATGATTGCCCCGAAAGGTGCTTCTTTTTTCAAAGGGCAACTGGACTCTGTTTTTCCTTGAAGAAGTTTCTGGAGTCAGAACTGAAAAAGCTTCTTGGATGAGAAGCAATACGTCTTCAAGGAAAAACATTGAAAAAAGCACCAGTGGGACAGCCATGAGCTGGATGACTCAGAATCTCCATAGACGTCATATATGATTATTCCCCATTATTTTATGCTTTTTCTTCTGCCACGTGATTCAGACCTCCTTCACTTTTGTCAATTTTGTTATGCTGCAGCCTGATTCTACAGTTGTTGAAATTCATTTTTTTCCCCTCATGAATCTACACTCAGTACCCCATAATGACAAACAGAAATTTTAGAAATGCCTGTAAATTTATTAAAAAGAAAAAACTGAAATATATTACATTAAAAAAAAGTTGGGAAAGGCTGTTTCAAATACTCTAGACAACTCTAAAACAAGGTTTTTCAATATTATTTTTAATGGTACTATTAAATATGTATTTTGGATTAATAAAGATTCATCTGCTGGGCATGGTATAGAATAGGGATGTGTCTCATGCCCAGTATATACCTAAAGCATCTTACCCAAAAAGCTATTGATATATTGGAGAAGAGGGAGAGGATGCCTTCTGAAGGATGTTCTTTAAAGAGCCCATCATGTGGTGATTTTTTTTTACATTATTCCTCCATCTTTGCCCATAGTACTTACAGTAATGAGTAGCATTGTCAAGATATCTTTGTGGTTAGCTTTTATGGAGTTGTGAATGATTGAATTGTACTAAATGATAAGGCTAATTCAATCTGTTAGAACACGTGCTTCCTGGCTGCTCATCCTGTATGTTTTGTGCACATGCAAATGCTGTTAAAACATTGTTTATTTTCCAATCTATCTTTTAGAAGAAGTGGATTTCTGCTGTACTTTTCCATCCAAAACCTTTATAATTTACCCTCAAAGGTATTCGTATTACTGCCTAATTTCTTTTTTTTTGAAATATTTATTATTGGTTCAAAAAAGCCAGGCCCTTTTTCATGTCTCCTAGGCATGGGCTAAACCTATGGCAGATTTAAATCTAAATCCCAAGACATTAAATTCATACCTCGAACATATGTTAGGTGTTAGCAGTCACTGAATACACTTGTAAAAATTAGGCAGAGTATAAATCGACATTTCTATGTTCCAGATGTTATAAAAATCTCATTACCTGGGCCATAAAATTTATCTCTGCGGACATGGTACACAGCCTGAAATAGAATAAAGATGTGCGTCTTTCCATGTGTGCCTTCCTTTGGCAGCCCTAGATGCACCTGGCATCAATCAATAGCACCGACAGCTTTAGTATCTGCCTGGAAGATTCACATGGACTTAATCTTTCATTTATCTTTCAATAAAAGGTAGAGGTGCTACAGATAAGGGAGATGAGAGAAAAATACAAAGGAAAATCAGCCAGCCGGAAAGCAGATTTTGTGACCCCCCTCATTAACCTATGAATGTCAGTCAGCTCATAGGCCTCTTCCATTACCAAGAGAACATTGGCCTTCAGAAATGTGTTCCACAAATGACACTAGAGCAATGGAGGGATATAAAAGGCAGGGCCCCCTAATCTTCATGTTCCCTTTAGCCATCATTTTGTCTCAAACTGAGTGGGACTGTTTTGAGGAATGTTCTATATTTATTTATTGAACATACCTTTAATCACGTAACTGATTTTAATGGGGTCCATAGAATATTTGAGGAAATTTCCTGAGTGAACATATTTACCACGGAAAGCTAAAAAAAAAAAAACTCTTTAGCGTTGCTGCCCTTAAAAAGCAAAAGAGAGAGGTGAAATGTGACGAGAATAAAAACTGAGAATCAAAGAAAATTAAATAAGAATATTTCCAATATTTTTTTTTAAAAAAAATCCTCTTTCACCCTTTTAGTTAAGATCCCTTCTTTATTCATTCCTCTCTTGTTCTTCCTCAGCAATTCCTCCCTTTACCCAGCCTCTTATTTCTGGGGATGAACAAATGTGCTGGCACTGACTGGATAATACACAGATCTTCTCTGTTGCTCAAACAATACACCTGTTGGGTTCTGAAAACCTCACTGTTGCTTTTGGCAAGAGCCCCACCAATCCAGCACAGGAGAGGAAACCCTGCCTTTTTGTATTGAACTGACTCCAGAACACTTAGAGGGTGGAAAAGGAAAAAAAGGAGTTATCCTAATAATAACGAGACTGTATCCCATTCTTCTGGGTTTCCTAACTGATGAAAAGGCAATTTTTAGGTGGAAATGAATAGGAACTGGGGAGCAAAGTTTGACAGCTTGATGGGATGAGCTGTCATTACCAACACAAACCTGACTTAACACTGCCACAAGTAGAAAGCTGGAAGGGAAAAAGCTAAGCAAGCAGATGGCTTCCAATAACAAAAGCAACGAGGCAAGCTACATAAATCAAATGTCCATGACATTCTTCAGATAGAATACCAAATAGAATGTCACATCAAATCTGAAATCTAATGTGTGACTTAAATGAGGGCAGACTAAAATAAGATACTGGTGCTTCATGTGCTTCAGTTCTTCTGTGGTTTTCTTGGCTGCCTCCCTTGCACATGTTCTTCTACCAACTTCTCCCTCCTCCCTAAGGTCTCAGTGCTATTTGCTGTTAGCCCTGCTGACTGACAAGGGGAAGAACTGAATTTGAAACGTTCATAAAAGCATTTAGCACTGATCTATCAATCGGTTTAATCATTCAGCTATCTATCATCTACTTATTTGGGTACATTCTAAAGGAGAGATATGTGAATCCTTCCAAATATCTTCCTATCCTTAATGGATGCTTGTTTTAGTAGGGAGCAATTCCTAGTTGAGTCATGCATTATTTTAGAAGCTAAGACGGTCAACCCTGGTTAGTACTTGGATAAGGAATGACTTGGGGATTTAACATTTATAAACTAGACTGAGAGATTAGAAAAATAGTGCAAATGGGTGTGGAGCCTTCTTGGAACAGTTGGAAAGGACTGTGTTGAGGAGCTGTGCTTTCTGCAGGATGTTTTCTGCCCCATGTGTCCCTTCAACATTGTGTGT